AATAGACTTAATGACCTTGGCTAATTTCAAAGAGCCACATCATGAACTATTAAGGCAAAAGGATAGGAAAGACAGGAATAGATAAGAAATTGGATGTTTGGAGGGTGACATGAGAAGACAATACTAAAAAATGCAAATTAAGCTTTCACCCAGACAAATAGTAGCAGCTCTGTTCCAAAGCAAAAACACCTGATAATTTTATTTTAATGCCTACACTTTTTTTTCTCTTTTCTGCCTCATAATCCAAGTGAAAACCTTGAGGCACAATGTACAGTGGTTGCAGAGGGAATCATCCCAAATATTACCTGATGGTTTCAGCAGCCCCACTGGTACCTCAGGARCACCAGGAGATTTCCTGGGGGTTCAAGGATTCAGTAACCTCATGTGACACTTTGTACRTCTGAGTCTTAAAGGATGAGTGATTTAAAGCTTGTCAGAATAAATCAAATGTGTTCACGGGGAATTTTCTTGCAGGTGTGCATAACTCCCAGAAACAGCCTCATGAGAAAATGGAGGTACATTTATAACTCTTGACTACCTTAGGGGTTTTTTGTTACCTTGTTAAACAACTTCATGAGAAAGGAAAAGAAAAAAGTAAAACTAGGATCTAAATGTAGGTCCAGATCTTTGAGTTTTATAATTTTGCCTCATTCTTGAAAGGCCTGAATTTTYCTTAAAACTCTGAAATTTGTACTTTCCTCTCTGGTAAACAGTACTTGAAATTTCCCAGTGTTCCATCTGTAGAAGGACTAGAACACCTGATTCAGTAATAGCAGCATTTATCTTCATTTTACAATAACAATTCATTCAAACAACTTAAACAGAAAAATAATACTCTGATTATAGGCTGCTAAAACAGAACAATTTTTAGCCAAAACTTCTCTGTGTATGTTCTGCAGTTTTTATATACCAAATGAACCAGGGTTTGCCTTTAAATATTTTATTGATTAGAGACTTTAGAGATYATGGTTCAGATCCCAGTTAAGAAAGATCTAAATAATCTGAAGATTTGGAATGATTCTGTTTACAATGGTATTTTATTTTTTTTTTTTCAGTATTTTAGCATTTTCTCAATGGAATATCTAAAATCTTAGTACAGCTCTTCCAGGAGGTACTAAATAATAACTTATCCCTTAAATTAGTTAATTAAAAAAAGATATCTCCATATTCTGAACAAGTTGTAGTTTCCTATGGTTCTGACTCGGAGGCAGACYAAACTCCAATTCTGGCACACCCTTTCAATTTTTGCCATATACATAGATATAAAGCTGATTTATAAAACTGATTTATAAAACTCTACTGCTCACCTCTGCAGCCCTATAAAAAGAACCCTTGYATTAAGATTCATGGGAATGTGATTTTAATTCTCTAGAAATTATCTTAATGATTATATCTAATCCTTCACCTGCTCTAGGCCAGGTTACTCAAACTAACCCATGATGGATATTTGCCTAAGCCATCCTTAAAACTTTCAGGGAAAGAAAAAATAGTATTTTACTTTCAAAAGACCTCAAAATCAGAGACTGGCACAAGCTGCAGCCACACAACCCCAGATTTCACTGACCAGAGCCCGCCCCAGCCCCACACTGGAATGAACCCAGTGAAGGAAAGATTAAATAGTTCAGTTTGCAATAATTTGGCAGCTCCCCTGGGGCAGAGGAGTTCTCAGCTCATCGCACAGCTGAGCTGTAAAAGTGGCTGCAAACGCAGCTGAAGTGAGGGCCTGGCTCTCARAAGAAGCCTGAAGAATTTGTCAAAGAAAGAAGCTTAATTGCCAAGAGCAGATCTGAAGCAATCTTTGGCTGGAACTACTCAAGCTTGGCTCCRGTTTTGGCACTGGTAAATTTTATCTGAACCTCATCAAATCTGCAAGGAGCTGATGGGAGTGAACTCCCCCAYTCAGCAGGGCTGGATTGTGGTGGAATTACTGGAATTCTGAACAGCCCCAGTGTCAGGTTTAAAGGAGGGGTTAATATATATTTTGATTCCTCCCCTATTCAGCCACTCTAAAGCATTCTTCAATTAGATAAAAAATAAAAAGGAACTCAAAATGACCAAATGCAGATGTCTTATCACCATTATRTACTCTGAGGTTCAAACCCACCCCTTTCTCCTCTGAAGGACATTGGAACACATAATATGAAACAACCGTACATAATAAAACATTTTTTACTTCATATTGCCAYAACCTCCCCTGAATTTATGCATTACATTCACCAGCAAAAATGCATATGTGCCTGAAATAAAAAATGATAATACAGTAATGTCATTGTATTTACTACTATTTCCTTGAAATTTCCCGTATATTACCATTTCACACTGGAGATATGACCATATTTTCCCTTGCCAGAGAAAGGTGTAGGCCTGAATACATCTCTAAAACATCGTTAATAATGAATTAACATGAGAATGTTAAATTTAGAGAAAGAAATTAGAATAGTTCCAGTTACTGGATGCTTCTACTCCATTAGYTCCTAAAATTTCAGGCYTTTGGAGTYACCTGTGCACTGAAACGGGCTTTGSCCTGGTGACACCCCCATATTTCACACCAGAACTGATTTTCCTGGTGCTTGGACTGTGACTTATTTACACAGCACTGCCAGYGTCCCCAGCAATAGATTATTTTACCATTTTACCCAGCTCTGTGACCAACTGGGTTGTTTGCAACTGAATACTTAAAATTGCTGTTCCCTTCCTCGATATCAAATTTTTGCATGAACACTGATAATTAGACCAGAATTGATAATGCCACTCTTTTGATTAACAGAAAGAAAAAGCCAATGATTTGGCCAGGTTTCTGAAGTAACTTTGCAATTTTTGGCCACATAAATGATTTSAACAAGTCATAACTTRTGYGTTCAATACTCAGAAAGTACAGCASAATGACTCAAATRTATATATAGATATAAGTGATACAGATATACACAATAATTGCAACTATAAAGCCTTCATACCACATATATAATACATAGAAATGCAACAAAATGACACTGTAGTGGCAGTTGTTTGTAACAAACTACACRATCAGAATGTAAAATTATTGTTTTCTGCACTCTCTGGTTCTGTTGACAGAAATGTGTCCACTGATAATTTCAACTGCTGCCTCTAATAAGCAAGTAAAAACATGCAATTGCCACAAAAATCAAAATTAATGTGTTGTTAACCATTTACTAGATGAGGAGTACTGTGAGACTTCATTATGTAGRTGTTCAGTGTGGTATAGAACAAATGTTTGTTTAGAATGTTTTACAAAATTCTATGGTCATTTATTAAAGACTTTTTTTTTTTTTCCCCCACTGGGCAGTTTTTTTATTCACCTGTGATAATAAAGAAAGGAGTGGGAATCAACATGAACCTCATACAGGTGTATATGAGAATAAATTAAAAGGACATGAATAAAGACTGGGTATTTGATGTGCTACCACATTTCAAAGTACAGGACRCATGTACAAAATGCTACATATGAAAAGCAAATGTATTTCATTTCCACTAACACAGGACTTTAGTCTGTATTTTTTATTTCTGATTCCATTATTCTTGTTGTTTAAAGACTTAAAACASAATAAAAATACAAGACAGTTATAATGTCATATATAAAATTTCCAGCCCTGGAAATTTTTTATCCTCTGTCATTTAATCCAGAGTAATTTACAGAAAAACATTAAATATCAAGGAATATAATTGAAACAGAACTTAATGGATCAATAATGTTATCCCAAAAACACTCACCTGCAACTTCAGAAAGTTCCGGGGTAGGCCAAACACTGCTTTGGCCAGTTTAACTTCCCAGGGTTTTTTTGGATGCTGGGACCAGTGCTAAAAACAATATGCTGACACAAATTTTGATTTTGTGTAAAGCTCATTGAACAAGGACTATAAAACARTTGAGCCTTCAAGAAAAGAAATGATTCCTATCACTGTGAATAAGAATTTCCATATATTTTATGACAGCCCATATTCTCATCTGGTTATATAAAAATAACTATTTGTAGTTTTGTGAAGTCAGCAGTATTTCACTGATTAATTCCAGATGGCTTTTTTTTTTTTCTTTTTTGATTTTACTTCTTTTTTTCCATGGGACTTATTTTTGGTGTGGGCTTAGATTTTACCCTGACAGCTCTGAAAATATGTCCACATGAAATTTTAAATTCTAATTGGACTTTCTGAACTCTACCATTAATTGTAYCTTTCACTGTGCATTGTCATATTGGATTGCAGCAGAAATCCCAGGACCTGTCTCTGAGATCCAGGTTTTGAACATGAGATCTGTTGAGCATCATCAACAATCATCCATCTAGAAATCTACTGATTAAAAATAACTGACTCAAGGTATCCAAGCCTGGCCCGATAATGATCCCCAAGGCAGACCTCAATAAATCATCTGAGCAGCAGAGCTGAGATATTAAAAGAGTTGACCTTCACCAATTTCTATTTAAGATTTCTCATTGTCAGAATGTGGTGGTTACACTATTAAACTGTGGTTTATTTGCATAAAATCCTCCCCAACCCAAAATCTTCTATGCAAAATAATGCTCATTSCAAAGTTGATGTATTGTTCAGTGGYTTTCYTTGGCTTTTTTTTAAACAAAAACTGTAAGTAAAAAGAGAAATTATCCTAGGAAACAGTGTGCTGCCCAACTTTTGCTTACTAAAGAAAAGTTTCCTCATCCTTCTTTTCTTATAGGAGTTTCCATCCTAAAAGCTTAGTAACTAAGAAATGAAAAATCTGAAAATCTCTATAGGCTTTTTACCTGAATTTCCTACACACTAAATATTTAAAAAAAAACAAAAAAAAAACCCAAAAACCAAAAAACAAAAACCAAAAAAACATTGAAAAATAAATTAAAATAAGCCTCATTCAGTTTGCTTTTGGTTGTTACAGACACATATACACATTCATATACACCTGCATGTATTCCCAAGGAGTAAGTTCTGGTTCTCTTTGAACTCAAAAAAGAAAATACAGTAGAAGATTTGAGGTTAAAGCAATTTCCACTCACCCCTGCAGTGAACTCCTTCGTCGTACCCATCGGAGCAGTCGTAGACCCCATTGCAGAGCTGGGACAAGTGGATGCATTTGTTGGTCCCAATGCAGCTGATGAAATTCGGGGAGCATTTGAAATCTGCTTCCTCAGGACCTAAAGAACAGATGGAAAAAATTGTTAGACACATTTTTACATCCACAGCAAGGCAAAGAAAATTCTGCACTTTGTTCCCTTTTTTAAAGCTGAGGGAAACACTATCTATCAGTCCATTTTGCAGATTTTGGGGCATTGTCATCACTGTATTTATGAGAATTAAAGTCAWCAAGAAATGATTAGTGCAATTACAAGGAAACCAATGGCTCAGAGAATTATTTCGTAAAATACAGGTGTTTTACAGCTGCTAAAATAAGCTTTGMAGGCACTAAAAAGCATCATAAGATTTTCAATTGTCCTGTGAATATTCTGTCAAGAGTCATAGCAAGAGTAATACGCACCAGCATTTACTTTCACTTTTGTGCTATGCAGATAATTGTAGATATTTATGAAAACACATATAAATGTCACATATTTGTGGCTGCATTAAATCACAGAAACTGTTGCTCCAGCCCAGGAGACTGCCTCAGAAACAACAGTCCAGGATGGAAGGGAGAGGATAAGGATGYTGTGATTGCTCCCTTTGGGATACCACCCCAGCAGCAATCACTTATCWCAGTCCCCTTTTCCCTGAAGTGTTYGGYTCAGGGAGKTTTGAGGGAGTTTAGGGACCCTTGAGAATGTCTTTTGTTTATCTCTTAGAAAGASTTCTGACTGACTAAATAAAACCCCCACMATTTCCACATTRTAATGACTTGGAGATTTTGAACACWGCAAACATTTAGAGGWCTGAAGAGYSYASCWSATTTACTAATTTATAMATTGTATATAATTAGCTACACAGACACAAAAGGGGTGCAGATTTTTTAGGAAAACAGCTTGAACCTCCTCTGTTACTTCTGTTGGAGCTTTGGGTCTGTGCTAAACTCTGGCAGCTTGTAAGATTCCTTTAGGAAAATCTATCCTGAGCCYAAGTGTGAGATGCTTTCACCTTCTTCGAGGCACAAACTCCAAGGGGAAGRACAGAAATCACTGGCAGCAGCTGAAAGCTCCCTAATAAGTTGGGAAATCTCAGCTTTGTCAGATCTTGTCTCTAGGAGTCAGCAGGACAAACCATTTGAGGGGAATTCACAAGGTCTGTAACAAATACAGATGCCTCTTAGCTCAGGGATATCTAGGGATAAAGAGGGAGTGTTTATGGCAATGAATGTTCCCTGTCTCAAACAATTTTTGTGCTTCCAGGATGAAACACAGACTATGCCCACCATGCTCTGGGTTAAWCACATGCAAATACATGCACAGGGATTAAAATGTTTCATAGAGGAAATATATTCSCTGTATTTTCCAGTAAAATAGAAGAAGAAATTAATTTGAATTTGATCAAAATTTATCCTAGATGTTAGGATTTGAAAACTATGGTACTAAGAAACAAAGCTTTAGAGAATTTGGGCAYTTTACCCCTCTCTTTGTGCCCTGGAGGTGGGACCCTTCATGCCACGAAACATCTCATGCACATGGAGCTTCCTACAGCCCCTGGCAGTGTCAGGACTCCTCCAGGACTGATGGGACTCTGCAGACCTTGTAAGGAAGAAGATGAATAAAGCAGCCCAATGCTCTGTCAGGTAGGTCATGTGAATATTATAATAATTTGATTCCTATTTCAGCTGCATCAGGCCTTGAAAGCACCTCATGTTTAACAAAAGAAACTATTTTTTTTGAATTGCCAGTAATAATTTGCTTATTTTTTTGTTTAGAGCATCTCTGGCAGAGTGTGAGGAGTGAAAAAGGTATTTTCTTCCGAAACAGAGAATATTCATTAAAAAAATAAAAAAAAACACCAAAACATAAAATTATATCTCTGAAGCATGTGAACCATGGTACTTGCATTATTATAAATCCTAAATTTCAAGAGGGCCTTCATACTTTATCAAAGAGAAAACTTGAAATCTGTGACCAAAACTATWTARATAYATATATRTGTATATCCTAAATTTAMTGAGTGAAAAGAARSAATCTCCTAATYAACATTTTAAACCTTAACAGACTACTCTGATATGTTCCTGTCTGTAAAATTTGTGGGGATTAATTTGGATTTGATGTTACTTGCTTTTAAAATATGAGATTCCTTCAGGACACAGACATCCTGCAATTCCAAATGTGTTTTCTAACTCAAAACACCAGTCAGGCAGCTTCCTAAGCAGGTTTCTTTGACTGAAAACATAGGATGGGACACTGGCATATGCTCCAGGAGGTGGTACTTAAATTGTTTTGTTTTCAAGAGAAATTTTTTCACCACTTGTCAAAGTAAGAGATTAGAAATGACACCCTCACTCCTGTGATTAAGATAAATTCAAATGTACTTTTGCTTACAAACATGACGCTTTGGAAGGCAACTTGACTTAAAAATGAAGATGAACTTCAGTCCCAAAAAATCCTATTTTATAGAAGTTTTGTGACTTTTTTGTCTGCAAAATAACTCTAAATGGTAATAAGTCTCAACCATAAACACCAGTGGAGTAAGACAGCAGGTTCCAAGGCCTCCCTGCCCACAATTTCTACCACCTCTATTGAATTAAAAAACAAAAAAAAAAAAAAAAAAAAAACAAAAAAAAAACCAAAAAAGCCAAATCAAGYTGCATGTTGTGCTGCCTTTGAAGCAGCACTTGCTTTTCCCACTGAATCCTTCCCAGCTGCTGCACTTTCTGAAATGTCTAATGCAAATAAAGAAGAGGAGCTTTTTATCTTGTTTACTCCTCYTCACTCTCCCTTTAGCAGACAGCCACTTCTGGCAGTGTTATCAAGTGAACTTCGGGAAAAGGAATTTAAAAGTGTTCTTCTTCAAAATAATCTCAGTGTATTTTACATCAGYGCAAGAATGCTAAGAATATAAAAGACGGATGGTGTCTTTTCTTCCCTTCAAAAGACATCATAATTCCCAGCCTTGCCAGTTGGTGGAAAAATAGTCCAAACTAGTGGCTGCAATTATGGTAATACAACATCTCRATGTTTCCGACATTCATCCTGGGACACTGCTTGGAGGGCAAAGAGGATGTGAGCAGCTCAAGAGAGGCGGCTCAGGCGGTGGAATATCCGTGAGTGATTGTGTCCTAACAGATGGATGAGGGATGGTGTGGTGGTTTAGACTGTGCTGAAAACCAAAAGCACTGCACCCACACTGGGGAATGGCCCATCGAGTACACACAGGGGGTAGAGCTCCTTTTGCTGGAGAAGAAGGAGAAAATTTCTAGAACTTCCTCACRGCAGCCATCTTCGTGGTTTCTTGATCCCATCCCCCCAGCACCAAAAATTGGACCAAGTAAAACCATGACAGATGGGAAAAGGGCTGAGCTGCAGGAGCTGAGCCAGGGCCATGGGGGAGCCCCCCAGGCTGGGCATGGGACACTCCCCAGGGATGGGCATGGGACACTCCCCAGGGATGGGCATGGGACACTCCCCAGGGATGAGGGTGGATGCCAGGATCAGTGAGAGTACCCATGTTGGGCACATTCCACTGCCATGGGGTCAGATTGCTGCAGCTTTCCCTAAATCTCCAGAAAACAGCCTGTGCCCGGGGCAGACAGGCTGAAAAGGAGAGAGATTATTCTGGATCCAGATTTCCTTGGCTGTGGAATCCATGGGAAGCCATTTCTGAGCTGGTCACACCAAGTCACAGTCCCTGGAAGGCAAAGGTGGCAGGACCTGTGCAGTCCAGGGGAATGCAGCTCAAACCCCTGCAGGGAAGGTGCCCCAGGGGCAGGAGGGATGGGAAGAGGTCAGAGATGATCATCACATCCTTGTGATGTCCCCAGAAGGAGAAAGAGGGAGGAATCAGTCACGAGCACTGAGTTCACACTGAAAAACCATCCAAAGAAAGCACTGAAGGGCTCTGTCAGAAGCAGCAGAGATATTTCACCGTTCGCTTCCCACACGGCATCTTGTGAGTTTGTGCTCCATGAAAACTCTTCCTGCCTCACTTCAGCCTCCTGCTCTGCTGCATTTCAAACTACAGAATGCAACCAAGAATCTACAAACTGCCTATTTCCACTATTTTTATTAACATGAGCAAAATACAAGTGTGTATTAGCAAAAATTATGAATGAACATTATTTCATGATGCACATTTGCTTCTTCTAGAAAGATTCTTTCTCATATTTCTAGGATAACTACATTTACCTTAATATAAACTAAGGTACAACCTTACATACTAAATATAGGGGGGTTACAAACCATGAACAAAGGATATTTCCAAATGCAGACATACTTGGGTGCACTACACAAATTCAAAGTCCTCAGTTATTAAATTACAGTAAAACACACAYGCACACGTTTATTGGAAATTCAATTAAACACTCCTATTTGTCAACTGTTACCAAAAAGAGCATCAATTTGTAGGGTTTGGAGTTTTTTCTGTATTTATTTTTTCACCCTCATCTCAACTAACTTTTTCCAAAGTGCTTTTTCTTTGAACAGCTCAGGCAAGAAGTTAGAATTTTATCTAAGACACAAGGCAGCCAAATGTGGTACATCCCTTTTACATCACTGCATCCAATTTACTTCAAGACCWGCATTTTCTGAGCAGCTCTAATCCTGGGCTGTCCTCAGCCATAAGAATTAATTACACAAAACTGTGGGATGCCTTCAAAATTCCCATTTGTGTCCTACATCAGCGACTTACACTGTGTTTGGAATGAATCTTCTCCACAATGAGCAGTTATCCTGAACAAAGCCTTATTCCACTGCCTTGGAATTCAATTCTGTTCTWAAGATGAATAATGGACACAAATTTTGGGATCTCTCTGGATAAATACAGGCTTCAATGATCACAGTACAATGTGGCTGGTAAAACACATACAAAATTGTGGGTTTTTTCCTCTCTGTTAAGTTTTCTCCAAAGTACTGCTGGTACCCCATTTCTACTTTGGACTCAGAGTATGGAATGCAATATTTAAGATTGCAGAATTGATTTTTAAACTTCATATTTGTTCTTAATTATCACTCTTAGCAACAAGAAACAACCTGCCACATGCAGCTGAAGTAACATAAAATATCTGATAGAATTT